TGGCCTTTCGGGTTTAGCAGTTTAGGCTTTAGGGTTCTTTGGGGCTTTGTGCATGGTTTATAGGGTGTATAAGGTTTTCAGGTCTCATGAGGGCCTTAAAATAGGGTGAAAAGATTAGGGTTAAAAGGTTTAGGCATGGCTTATAAGGGGGTTTTGGTTTTAGGTAGTTTTGGGGGTTAAGGGTGAAAAGGTTTAGGGGTTCGGGGCTTTGCGAGGATTTGGATGTTTGGGGCTTGTGCACGGTTTGGGTGTTTAGCGCCTTTAGGGTTTAGTGTGGTTTAGGGATTGAGGGTTTAGGGGCTTCGTTTTTGTCGGGGTTTGGGGTTTGTGGGGTAGAGTTCAAGGTTTGACGGCTTGTAGGGTTTAAGGTTTCGGGTTTAGGGTTTAGGCAGGGTTTCATAGCAGCTAAGGTTCAGGGTGATAAAGGCACTTTCATAACTGTCTTTCAGGCATTCATGAAGGTTTACGTCGCTTTCTTTAGCGGAGTACGCCTGAACAGTGCAGGTGTGGCGGTTTGATCCCGACTCTTTTGCTTAATCTCGGAACATGGCCTTGGGAAATGTCTCGATGCTATGCAGACGGACGCCTCACAGACCGCTTGTCTCTTGAATTCGTTGTGAGTCGTTGCACCGATGCTGTATAGGGGTTCCGTGGCATGAGTCTGACAACGGTCCTGCCATCATGGGTTTCGTCTGGGTTTTCTCGTAAATGCTTGTCCTAAACCCTAAACCCTAAACCGTGGACAGTGAAACCTAGCGGGAGTGCCTGCTTCGTGCTCAACCGATGCTTCACTCAGCATCAGGTGCTCTCAGGGGACTACTCCACTGCCTGCGACATGTGGAGCTGCGGTGTGATCTCGTCCCTCGGCGTGCAACTCTAAGACCGAAGCGGTCTAAAGCCCTGCATTTCGCTGTTTGGAGTGTTATGGGAATTAAGGGTTTGCAGCCAACACTTGCAAACATCTTCTGCAGCTTGTGGTGGCTATCGACCTATGCCCTCATCAGCACACCCTCCAGCCCTGCAAAACCCTACTTCTGCCCTTACCGGCCCAAACCCTAAACCCTAAACCCCTCCCCCAAAAGCCCACAATACGAAACATCGCAATTCAAAATTAGCAATGTTACATGTTCTCCCGTAAATGTATAACTATACCAAACATGGACGGGGTTAGGATCTAAGATGACCCAACATTTTGTCGGGTTTGGAGCCAGTAAAAAAGACCCTCTTGCCCCACAAGCCCTATTCTAACTGTGAAAACCCTATATATATACCAATACTCGTATAGGTGCTATATAACAGTGGGCTCTGTATATTGGAATTGCAGAGGTACATATTGCTCTCTGGCCAGCAGCCATTCTACGGAAGCACCCCCCGGGAAGTCCGCAAGCAGGCACTGCGGGGGAGCATTGGGTTGCGAGCGTAGGGAATTGCGGGATTGGGCTTTGAGGACTGCCATGAGGGTATTCCTGTATTGTCTCAGCCAGTATGTGGCAGTGATATCAGATCTTAATGGCGGTGGATCGGATCTAGCTGTTTTAGTTGTTGGTGTGTTTACTCTCAGTAGATGGCCGTTGGTGTGCATGTTTTGGGAAGAAGATTGGAACACGAAGGCAGGGATGAGACAATCAAAACCTGCGTTATCATCCGAGATGATGCGGTGCGGACCAATCATGTATTCGTATTGTCTGAGCCTGCATAGTGGACGTTCATGTATGTCAGACCGTTGCCTTTGTTGTGTTGCTTCTGTTATGAGACAGACCCAAGGATGAGACACTCAGAACCTGCGTTATCATCCGAGGTGGTCGAGATCCATGTAATGCGGACCACCCTGTACTGTTTGGTGTCTGACGCAGGAAGTTTCGCATGTCGCGGGTGTGGCTTGACCCTCTTTCAGTGGGCAGGGATGAGACAATCAAACCTGCGTTATCATCCGAGATAATGCGGTGCGGACTAGCTAATCATGTATTCGTATTGTCTGAGCCTGCATAGTGGACGTTCATGTATGTCAGACCGTTGCCTTTGTTGTGTTGCTTCTGTTATGAGACAGACCCAAGGATGAGACACTCAGAACCTGCGTTATCATCCGAGGTGGTCGAGATCCATGTAATGCGGACCACCCTGTACTGTTTGGTGTCTGACGCAGGAAGTTTCGCATGTCGCGGGTGTGGCTTGACCCTCTTTCAGTGGGCAGGGATGAGACAATCAAACCTGCGTTATCATCCGAGATAATGCGGTGCGGACTAGCTAATCATGTATTCGTATTGTCTGAGCCTGCATAGTGGACGTTCATGTATGTCAGACCGTTGCCTTTGTTGTGTTGCTTCTGTTATGAGACAGACCCAAGGATGAGACACTCAGAACCTGCGTTATCATCCGAGGTGGTCGAGATCCATGTAATGCGGACCACCCTGTATTGATTGGTCTCTGACGCAGGAAGTTTCGCATGTTGCGGGTGTGGCTTGACCCTCTTTCGGTGGGCAGGGATGAGACAATCAACACCTGCGTTATCATCCGAGATGATGCGGTGCGGACCAATCATGTATTCGTATTGTCTGAGCCTGCATAGTGGACGTTCATGTACGTCAGAACGTTGCCTTTGTTGTGTTACTTATGGTGTGAGACAGACACAAGGATGAGACACTCAGAACCTGCGTTATCATCCGAGGTGGTCGAGATCCATGTAATGCGGACCACCCTGTATTGATTGGTCTCTGACGCAGGAAGTTTCGCATGTTGCGGGTGTGGCTTGACTCTCTTTCGGTGGGCAGGGATGAGACAATCAAAACCTGCGTTATCATCTGAGATGATGCGGTGCGGACCAATCATGTATTCGTATTGTCTGAGCAGGCGTGGTGGACGCGCATGTTGTCGCTGCTGTTTTATCAGACCGTTGCCTTTGTTGTGTGGCTTCTGGTGTGAGATACTGGCACACAAATGCAGGGATGAACCACTCAGAACCTGCGTTATCAACCGAGGTGGCTGAGATCCAATGTACAGCGGGATCACCCAGCATTGACCGGTCTATGACGCTGGAAGCTTCGCATGTTGCGGGTGTGGCTTGACCCTCTTTCAGTGGGCAGGGATGAGACAATCAAACCTGCGTTATCATCCGAGATGATGCGGTGCGGACCAATCATGTATTCGTATTGTCTGAGCCTGCATAGTGGACGTTCATGTACGTCAGACCGTTGCCTTTGTTGTGTTGCTTCTGTTATGAGACAGACCCAAGGATGAGACACTCAGAACCTGCGTTATCATCCGAGGTGGTCGAGATCCATGTAATGCGGACCACCCTGTACTGTTTGGTGTCTGACGCAGGAAGTTTCGCATGTCGCGGGTGTGGCTTGACCTTCTTTCGGTGGGCAGGGACGAGACAATCAAAACCTGCGTTATCATCCGAGATGATGCGGTGCGGACCAATCATGTATTCGTATTGTCCGAGCCTGCATAGTGGACGTTCATGTATGTCAGAACGTTGCCTTTGTTGTGTTGCTTCTGGTGTGAGACAGACGCGAGGATGAGACACTAAGAACCTGCGCTATCATCCGAGGTGGTCGAGATCCATGTAATGCGGACCACCCTGTATTGATTGGTCTCTGACGCAGGAAGTTTCGCATGTTGCGGGTGTGGCTTGACCCTCTTTCGGTGGGCAGGGACGAGACACTCAAAACCTGCGTTATCATCCGAGATGATGCGGTGCGGACCAATCATGTATTCGTATTGTCCGAGCCTGCATAGTGGACGTTCATGTATGTCAGAACGTTGCCTTTGTTGTGTTGCTTCTGGTGTGAGACAGACGCGAGGATGAGACACTAAGAACCTGCGCTATCATCCGAGGTGGTCGAGATCCATGTAATGCGGACCACCCTGTATTGATTGGTCTCTGACGCAGGAAGTTTCGCATGTTGCGGGTGTGGCTTGACCCTCTTTCGGTGGGCAGGGACGAGACACTCAAAACCTGCGTTATCATCCGAGATGATGCGGTGCGGACCAATCATGTATTCGTATTGTCTGAGCCTGCATAGTGGACGTTCATGTATGTCAGACCGTTGCCTTTGTTGTGTTGCTATTGGTGTGAGACAGCCCCAAGGATGAGACACTCAGAACCTGCGTTATCATCCGAGGTGGTCGAGATCCATGTAATGCGGACCACCCTGTATTGATTGGTCTCTGACGCAGGAAGTTTCGCATGTTGCGGGTGTGGCTTGACTCTCTTTCGGTGGGCAGGGATGAGACAATCAAAACCTGCGTTATCATCCGAGATGATGCGGTGCGGACCAATCATGTATTCGTATTGTCTGAGCCGGCATGGTGGACTTGCACGTCGCTGCTGTTTGATCAGACCTTAATGTGAGAAAGTCAAGAGCATGTTGCTGCCGCGGATTGTTGTTGCGACAGCCCCTATAGAGTGCATGGCTGTGGCCGTTTAGTCGCATGCTGCGGGAGCAGACAGCCAAACCAGGCGCTGTCATCCGAAATGATGAGTGCCGACTGTGCACGTATTCGCATCTTCTGACCCAGATGTCAGTGTGGGTGTTGGAATATGTTGGTGTAGAGGCAATAATTAATCGATTCACTATTGAATCGTGTTTCTGAGACGGAAGACAAACCATGATAGCCAGCAGCATAGCGATCCTCAGAGTTTATGGTTGTAGCTGAAAGCATAGCCGCGACTTCAATCAGCATTATCGTCGAAGTCAGCGCTGTACTCAGCGGTATTCGGCCGCATCACCCCTACACGCAGGCCTTCTCTAGCTGCTCCAATGCGAGTACCAGCGAGCTTCTGCTGGTTTCGAATCTTGTGGCAGGGCCCTATTTCTGAGTCGCAAATACCACGGCCCACCACTCCGGCGTACCAGATATCCCTATATAACCAAAGAGGTTAACCTTTAGTTCCCCATGATACCCGACAAGTAGGTGGCCCAACACCTATAAATGGCCATGTTCCTGGGGTCCAGGTTAGGGCTAATCCTTCGGAGGTCAAGCTCGGCAAATTCGCCATGGACGGGCCGATCTGGATGGGTATCACCGCAGATGCTAAGGTCCCCTGGGCTTTACGGATTTCGGGTTACCATAAGGCTTGCTTCAAGGTTGAGGGCTTTCGGTGCTCAGTTTTTCTATATGGGCTGATCCTGGGTTTGGAGTACCATACTTGAATACTTTTTTGGTACATGTTCCTTAAAGGAACCCTTATGAAATAACAGTCTATACTGTTTTCTCCCTGGTTACTTCAAAGTCCAGTGATGAGCTGCAAGGACTTCGTGGCTTTGCAGCACTTGTAAGGATTTTTAAGGCTTTGTCGCAACGGGGGTTTGGTTTAGACATGGGTTCCATAGGAGGTGCTGCCCCGAAACAACAGCGAGGGTCAAGACAACACTATTAACAGGTCAAGCCGCCTGTAATGTTGACTGTAGCCCGTAGGTATCATCTTTGTACGTCTGGGGATTTGTCAACAGCAGCTCTAATAAATCCACCTAAACCCTAAACCTGTAGCTAAACCCTAAACCTTTAACCTTGTGGTGTGGTTTTCTGTCATGGTCCTCCCGTTTCTAAATGCCCAAGGGGCCTCAGTCGGATCGGGAGAATGATCCTGACTACTCAATCGTTAGAGGTTTGGGGTTTCGAGGTTTTCAGAAGTTTCAGGGTTTAGGGGTTCAGGCTTGGAGGGGCTGAGGGCTTTAGGGGATTTAGGGATGTAGGGTTTTAGGGCTTTTAGGGTTTAGGGATTTCGGGTTTAGGCTTTTGGGGGGTTTTGGGTGTGGCCATGCCCGTCACCCAGAGAGCCCAATACCCCTTATTTAAGGAATATGGCTTAAATTATATAGGGCTTCATATTATGATTCAAGGTATATATTCCTTAATAAAGGGGTATTGGAAGCCCGAATCCCTGTAGATCCCGTATAGATCCCTTTTAGACCCCTTTTAAAGGAACCCTAGGTATATTCCTTAATTAAGGGGCCCCTTGGGCTCTCTGGGCAGGACTTGATTCAGAATCTGTTGGTCCGGGATCCTGCGAAGCGCATCACGGCGGCGCAGGCGTTGACCCGACCTCCACCCCCGTGCTTGAATTCAGCCTTGTCCTTTTTCATGGTTACCGCAACAGAATAAACAGCTTCTTAAGTAATTCCTACTAAGGGATATAGGTATACGGCTCTGTCTATTATTTCTAAAATGCCAAGGGTGCTTGAATTGGGGGCTTCAAAAAGGTGTGGGATGAAGGTAGGTAGGATTAAGGATCTCTTATACCCAGACCCCCGGGAGGATCTAGAAAGTAGATCCCCTAATTTGAAACGCTGCGCGTCGTCCGCCTCGGCCCGGCTGTACGCGCATGCGGCGAGTGGCTACTATCTGCAGCAAGCTCTTGTAGGAAAAAAGTAACAGTTGGAATCGCACTTATAGTAAAAGTAATGTTCATAGCAACACGAAGCAGGATGATTGTGAGTAGTATTAGCAGGCTGGGGTTAGGGTGTAGGGTTAGGAGTTCAGGTTTGAAACTCCCTTGGTACTGCAGCCTTAAAGTCGAGCCCCAAGAGATAAACATGCTACATTACAGTTTCGTGTCGTCGGAAATTCCCAGAAAGCTCGCACCTGTCAGCGAAGGGGGGAGGGGCGGGAGGGTGGGGGAAGGGGTGGCGGGGGGGCAGGGGCGGGGGAGGGGGGCGTCGTGCTTTCGGGTGCAGGTGTTGTCCAAACAAGGTTTGAAACTTTTTTTGGTACTGCAGCCTTACAGGCGAGCCCCAATTTTTCAGGCTGGGGTTAGGGTGTAGGGTTAGGAATTCAGGTTTGAAACTCGCTTGGTACTGCAGCCTTAAAGGCGAGCCCCAACACATAAAGAGGTTACATTGTTGTCTTTGTCGTTGAAAAAATGCAGAAAGCTCGCACCTGTCAGCGAGTGGAGGAGGGGCGCGAGGGAAGGGGGGGGGGGAGTGGGGGGAGGGGGGGGGAGGCACTGGGGAGGGGATTAAGAGGTGGGGAATAGAGGGAATCCGAATAGGAACCTCTGACCGCTTCGGCCGGGGCCGAGGCGAATTTGGGGCCCTATACTACTAAGGGTACTGTACAGGAACCCCCATTAAGGGATCTACTTTTTGGATCCTCCCGAAGGTCTGGGTTTTGGGTCTCTTATTTTGGGAGTACCCCACCTTCCTTCATCCCACCCTTTGGAGCACCGTGCTTGAAACGCTCGGAGGGGTTATGTATTGAGGGCTTAGGGCGTAATGTAGGTGCCCTAATACTTAGAATAGGGTTTGGGCAGTTTGGGCGGCTTTTGATTATAGTATCTACCCCCAAGCTTTGCGACGTAAGCCAGAAGCCCTCTGTCATAGGGCTTTTAGATTAGGTTTGCCTGCAATACCTAGACCCTCAAAAGTAGGTAAAACAATGGCCCAAAACCTAAACAGGCTATTATCACACATACTTTTGGTGTCCAGGTAGTTCCCATATGAAGCTCGCAAAAATCAGAACCTGAGGCCCTGCGCCAGTGCCCTTTTCATGGGTGCTCTCCGAACGCTAAACCCAGAGCCCAAGCCCTTTAGAAACGGTAGGTTATGACCCCATAATCACATAGGGATCAGCATCTGGGGGTGTGCGCTTGCATGTTTAAACTAAACGAAGGTTGTTTGGTCTATGAGTGTGGGTACTGAGGCAATCTGAAGGTTCAACCTCTATAAACCCCTGAACCCTAAACCCCTAAACCCCTACTACCTCTATTCCCCCAAAGCCCCGAAACCCTTAATCCCCCAATCCCTGAATCCTAACCCCCTAAACCCTGTATACCCTTAAAGCCCCGAAATTCCCGGAGCTCCCCCAAACCCTTCAACCCTTCGCGAACCTCGCGTCGCCTGGGCCCAACCCCTGAACCCCGAAACACTTAAACCTTACCTTAACCCGGAAAAACCTACATGTTTAAGGACCTATATAAGGAAATCATAATAAGGAGCCCTAAAAAGGGAGGATACTCAGGGTTTAGGTAAACCTACTGGAGAACTATGAAGGCGCTGAGACATGTTTGGATTGCGCGATTGGCTCCCAATGCCTTCGTCATTGACGGACGGTCACCTGGCTTTATTGGCACCCGGAAGGGGGGGAGCTGGAATCCCCCAACCCGAAAACCCCATTCCCCAAACCCTACACCCTCTATCTCTCCGGCACAAATAGTGGTAGTTCTTTAAATTTTCTCTAGATTAGGTTCCCTTTTCCGGAACCATGCAGAAGGCGGCACCGTCATAACAAAGTACCTTAACAGGCACCCGAATTTGGAGAGCTACCCATATGTGAGTTTCCGAAAACAAGGGGTACCTTCTTTGGGGGTCCGTATAATGAGGATCCTACTATTTAGGGTACTATATTATATTGGGGTCCCCTATTTCGGAAACCCTAAACCCTAAACCCTTTATAGAACCCTTATAGATCCCTTAAAGGAACCCTTTAAAGGGTCCCCTATTTTCGGAAACCCCGCTATGCAGAATTGTGGTTCGGAGCCTTGGCTGGGTTTAGGGTTTAGGCTTTGGCTAGATCCTAAGCTGAAAGGGGAAAAGGAGGGACCCTTAATGGGGACCCCTACCTTATAATGGGCTGTATAATGGGTATATGACAGCTATATCAAGGGTATATTTGGATAAGCTCCGTGAGTTTTCGGTTCCATGGACCCTAAGCCCAACAACCAGGCCTTAGTTTTAGACTCCACACTCGAAGCCCTGACTTAAACCCAGACCCAGACCCCTGAGTAGCTGAGTAGGAGTAACTACTGTTCATGGACAAAATCCTGCATGACCCTAAGGACTCTAAACTATGGGAACTATGGTATATTCCTCATAAAGGGTAATGCAGGATTTTGTCCATCAGCAGTATTAACTTTTTGGGACTGTTTCAGTCCAGTTGAAAGGGTTAACTTTTGTTGGGCTAGGGAACCCACGGAACTCCGCGAAGCCTCAGCCATACCGTACGTATCCTTACAGTGCTTGTGTGGATGCTTCTGTTTTGCCCACCAGAAATCCGAGATTGCAAGAGCGTCAGCAAGATTGAAGGTTCCGCCTTTTGGATGAAAGTTTAGCCCCAAATCCTAACATCGAAACCTAAACTCTAAACCCTAAGCCCTACCTTATCCCGGAATAACCTACATTTTTAAGGACTTATATAAGGAAATCATAATAAGGAACCCTAAAAAGGTAGGATATTCAGGGTTAAGGTAAGCCCTGAACCCTAAACCCTGAATTCTGACATCTTAAAGCCCGTCCAAACTCCAGGACCTCCGGGGATCCCAAACTAAAGCCCCTCTAAACACCCGCCACCGTCGCCTTGAAGCTGGGTGAGCGGTGGCTCAGAGTTTACAAAGGGAGTTTCCGAACATAGGGGGACCCTTTAAGAGGGTTCCTTTAAGGGATCTGTAAGGGTTCTATAAAGGGTTTAGGGTTTAGAGTTTCCGAAAATAGGGGACCCTAATCTAGTACCCTCAATAGTAGGATCCTTATTATAAGGACCCCAAAATAAGGGACCCCGAATTTTCGGAAACTCCCGCAAGGTCATGGGACCCCTGGGGTTCACAGCGAGGTAGGGCTTTGGGATATTTCATATTTTCCCTTCTTGGGGGCTTAAGAGGATCTTATTTGCTAAAATTTGTCAAAGGCTTTAAAAGGCCCACCTAGATAGGGTGTAGAGGTTGAGGATTTAAGCGTTTACAGCGGGGTTTAGAGCGTTTAGAGGGTTTAGGTACAGGGTTTAGCCTGATTTAGCCTTCAACTTAGTAGCTACCTTTTAGGCCTTATATATCCATGCCATAATTGAAAATGTGAACCTTTTTTTTGAGCCCTTGGGTACTCAGCCCCCAAACCCCTGAACCTTGATTCTCTAAACAGACTAAACCCCTGAACCCTAAACCCCTTTTGGGCCCTTGGGTGCTCAGCCCACAAACCCCTAAACCCTAAACCCTGATTCCCCTAAGCCCTAAACTTCTTTCCCCCCCCTTTGCCCTTGGGTGCTCAGCCCCTAAGGCGGGTGATCCAGAACCTGCGAGCCTTCGCTGCGCAGTCGCGTTTCAAGCAGGCGGCTTTGGCTGCCCCTCGGATCACGACTGGGCTGAGGGTTTAGGGCTTGGGGCTCACGGCTTTGGGGGCTTTGGGTTTAGCGTTTAGGGCTTGGGGCTTCCGGCTGTGGGGTTTAATTAGGGTTTATAGGGCTTGGGGCTTGCGGCTTTGGGGTTTAGGGTTTGGGGCTTCTGGCTTTGGGGTTTAGGGCTTGGGGCTTTGGGGGCTTACGACTTTGGGGTTTAGGGCCTGGGGCTTACGGCTTTGGGGTTTAGGGTTTAGGGCTTAGAGTTGGGTTTGGAGCATAAGATGGATGAAACCATGCCCATGTCCTAGCTGCCTTATGCATCGCACAGGCACGAACAGCAATCGGTCACATGAGGTATATAGTTTGAGCGGAACCTCGTGAAGACAGAGGCGAAATAATGCTGGGGCCAGGCTTTGCGGGGCGCAGGGTCGGGGTTTTGTAGCTGATGTTTTTGCAATTGTTGGGATTTCGGCGATGTTGATCTTGGTGGTTTCCAATTTATAACTACGGCTAATTCGCAACTCGGCTGAGAAGCTGATTTGTCTGACCACAAAATCAGCTAAATGCTTCAACCCGCAAAAATGAAATCTCAGACAGTCTGGGGTCTCAAGTCTTTAGCCTTCGACCGCACGTCGATTGAACCCTAGTCCGTCTAAGACTCTCAGCCCTAACCCACAGGGTCCAAAGTACTGTTATGGGAATACCTGCCCAACCCTTAAGGGTAATTCCCAATATCCCCTACATCCTACTGTAAAGGACCCTTTGGGTAAGCCCAGTCTGCAAGGTGGTGGCGACACAGCTGAGTTCTAGCGAGATGAAGCAGCTGCGACAGGCGTTCACCGCAATCGACACTTGGTGGACACAGTGTACATGGGTAGTTTTAAGTGGGTTATAAGTAGGATACAACAAATGTATCTCCGATTGCGGGACTTATAACCCACCTATAGCTACCCATGAACCTCCAAGTAGGGGCCTTCATAAATTGGATCGGGTGTTCTGAATTTGGGATTTAGTTTTCAAGGTTGATGGTTGTGGCCGGATCGTGTTTAACCCCCCTCGCTAGGCTTTTTAGGGTTCAGGTAAGCTCTAAACTGGGAAGTTTAACTGGGGATGTTGATGACGATGCGTGGACTTTATTGCGAAAGTGTCTTCGGGTCTTAACGAGGGCATAGGCCCTGCTTCCCTGGCTGTTCCAGGCGGCTTCTGCCGTGCTTCCGGGATGGTTCTAAGACTTGCGGTTTTAATTCAAGTTACGGTTTAGGGTTCAGGGTGTTGGGTTTAGGAGGGTTTCAAGGTTTGAGCTTTCAAAGTTTCGCGTTTGGCTCGGTTCCTCAGGATACCGACAACAACGGCACATTGACGCTGGAGGAGCTGATGCTTATACATGGAGCTGTGAAATTTTCTGAAGCTTGAGGGGGTGCATAGCTGAATCGGTGGCCTTTGCACCCCCGTTTTCGAGTTGCAAATGCATGTACCTACACGTTATATGCACACATACATCCATCTCTCTCTCTCTCTCTCTTCCTCTCTCTCTCTCTCTCTCTTCCTCTCTCTCTCTCTCTCTCTTTCTCTCTCTCTCTCTCTCTCTCTCTCTCTCTCTCTCTCTCTCTCTCTCTCTCTCTCTCTCTCTCTCTCTCTCTCTCTCTCTCTCTCTCTCTCTCTCTCTCTCTCTCTCTCTCTTTCTCTACCCACGCTCCCGTGCCCCTCAGATCTTCAGGGCTTGCCCCCGTGGCGGTTGTGGTGCACTTCTTACCAACTGATGTCATCTTGTCAGTGGTCACCATCAACCCTAAACCCGAAAGCTTAAACCGTTACCATTCGACCCTCCATCTGGTCCTGTAATAGCAAGCCCTAGAGCGACCGTCGACGAGAGGAGGTTCACGAAGCTCTGAAGAGCATGGACGTGGACATGCCCAGTGACCTGCTCAAAGCATTTACAATGTTACAGATCAGGCTTCACGGCTTCGTGCAGGTACGTTTGGAGAATAGGAGCTTGACATCATCCGCAATCTATGAGCTCTTTCTATCTGTCTCTGTCTTAGTCTCGCTCTCTGTCTCCGTCTCTCTCTCTCTCTCTCTCTTTCTCTCGCTCTCTCTTTCTGCCCATCTATCTATCCGTCTCTGACTCTCGCTCTCGGTACATACACATATACATACATACATGCATGCATAATTACACAGACAATTACATATGTATGTATGCATGCACTGATGGATGAATGCATGAATGGATGTATATATGCATAGATACAACCATAGGGTCATAGCATTTCCCTGAGTGATCACCTGCTCCAGCCGTTGAAATGCTCCTATTACCACGGAGTTGTGGCATGTTCGTGTTTGTCCATCTAGGAAGGACCCGGCGAGACAACATGGAAACCCTAAACCCTAAACCGCTTGCAAGTGCCACTCTTGCTGCCACAGGGACCCTGCAGGGACATGACTTCCAAGCTAGTTGCAACGTAGAAGATCTACCCATCCTGCGCCCTAGTTTCTTCTTGTGCGTGGTTTGATCCTTGCAATGACATCGAAGCAGGTTTATCGCAGTCCCTCATGCATTTTTTGGGGAGCTCTGAGCTCCGACAAACAGAGAACGAATTGCTGGCGGCGGAACTAGCTCGGTCTATTGCTTCTGAAGCGACCCTTCCTACAGTCTGTCTTTACACCTAAACCCTACATTGCCCCCGAAGAACCTACATTGTTAAGGACTTATATAGAGAAATCATAATAAGGAACCGTAAAAGGGTAGGTTATTCAGGGTTAAGGTAAACCCTAAACCAGTCCTTGCGCCCAAAGTGGGGCGACTCCCAGGTGACTTGCAGACGATTCTGGCTGCCATCGATGTCGGGGGCAAAGGACTGCATCCAAATGCAGTTTGGGTTTAGGGTTTTGGGTTTGGGTGTAGGGTTTGGGGTGTAGGGTTTTGGGTTTAGGGTTTGGGTTTTGGTGTATGCCCGAGCTGTAGGGTTTCAGAATTGTCCAAAACTCCTTGTTGTGTTTTGCTTGTCTGTCCACCGGGTTCGAGGTGTACAACTTAGGGACAGGATCGTGAATGGAGAAGACGCAGCAAAACCACGGGACAGGGATAGTCGGGCCGAATAACGACAGAGAGAGTGAGATAGCGAGAGTGACAGAGACAGAGAGAGATAGCGAGCGGGGATGTTGGGGGGGAGAGAAGTAAGCATGTAAGAGTTCGCCTCAGCGCACACAGCATTCATGCTTTCAATCAGAGTCAACACTATGATGCGGTGAGGCGGAAAGAGCAGATCAGAATGATGCTTGTGGTCTTGCTGGTGCTTGCTCCTGTCGGTAGACTTGCTTCTTAGATATTGAACGGGGGTACTTTAAACTGTTTGGCCTTATACATCAGCTCTATCTTAGAAAGTTTGAACTTTTTGGGGCCCGGTTGTTGAAGAAGAGAGGCTTTTGTTGTCCGTAATGTCGGTATTCGGGGTACGAGGACATTTGAACTATTCCGAGTTCCTGGCCGCTGCTGTGGATCACAAGAGCTTCCTGTGTGAGGAGGCTCCCAGAGAGCCCAAGGGGCCCCTTAATTGAGGAATACGGCTTAAGGCCTAGGGGCTTTTTAAAGGGATCTATAAGGGAATTAAGGAACATGGCTTAAATTATGATTTTAACATATATTCCTTAATTAAGGGGTATTGGGTGCTCCGGGCCGAACCGTGCTCTCCGGAATCCGGGAGACAAAAGCCCCCAAACTACAGCTTAAATTCTGAATCCCTGGGGGTTTAGGGGTGTTGGGTTAGGATTTGGGGGGTTTGGGTTTGGGGGTTTTGGGTTTAGGGTTTGGGGGTTTAGGGGTTTTGGGTTAGGAGGTTGGGATTCCAGGTCTTGAGTGAGCATCGAAGGATCGACTCGCCAATCACAGACAACTCTCGTTCCTTTAAATCCTCAAACCTGGGTGTCGGACCCAACGAATCCGTTAGCTCTCCATACTTGGAGGTTCATGAGTAATTCTAAGTGGGGTTATAAGTAGGGTAACTATACTTATAACTCCTATTAGGGGACTTATTACCCCAGTTATATCAACCCATGAACCTCCAAGTACCCGGGCCCTCGAAGGTCCCCTCAATGGATATGCTGTCGGAGGGTTTGGTCGCGGCAGACCTTCCGTTTACCCTCCATAAGAACTTAAATTCCTACAATAAAGATACACATACCCCTATCTGACGGTACAGGGAGGGTCTTGGCTTGGCGGGAGTGTGGGACAGGTGTGAATTCCATGTACGCCCCACTAATCGATATATAAGTTTGACTGTGATTGAAAGGACAACCCGTAATTGGTAAGCCCTCTTCCTAGCGCGCAACACAATGGACCATGAGAGGGCGTACCAAGGTTTAGTATACGTACTGAATGTTATAGAACGCAGCGAAGCTGTCCTGGCAACTAGCGCGAAACCGCTGGCACCGACAGAATCCAAAACAGCTGAAGGAGCAACAAGTAGCGAACGACTCATGGTACATACAGCAACGTCATCGGTCAACATGCTCGATTAGCGACATGAACAGCGTGAGTTGGGAAGATATACAACATATGCAGACATGGGCGCATAGGAACTTTGGTCCCAACCCATGCGCCCACGCCTAAACCTTTACTTTGGATCCACATCTTCAGCCATCCTGGTGTTGTGATTCGGACCTGACAGGATTTCGCAGACCAGGATATGGATCCTTCTTCTCATGTATGTCTAAGGTTTGGGGGTTTAGGGGTTGTTGTAGTACCTAGACCCTTAGAAGTAGGTAGAATAATGGCCACAAAGCCTACAAAGCAGCCAGATCGCAGGTCTGCTGGAATGCCTTCAAGTATTTCGATCGCAATGACGATGGCTTCATCTCTCACAGCGTGCCCTGGCTTCGGCGATTGAAGGTTTAGTGAGCAGAGCTCCAGGAATCAAGTCTGCACCCTCACCCCTCCAGGAAGCCCAAAGCCTTATGCATTCTTGTTGCAGCAGTGCCCTCATGACAGCCCATATCATCTAAACAGATCAAGTCGATGAACAAATCAATAAGGCAGTCAGTCAGTCAGTCAGTCAGTCAGTCAGTGATCCCATCAGTCATGTATCACAGACACACTAAGCTCCGAATGTTGAACCGAACCCGGCGGGTACACTTCCTAAGCCCTACGAACCACACCACTCATAAGGGTAGTTGTCAAAATTATGGCCCCTTATTAGGTGCCGTATTGTAAAAAGAACCCCAGAAGGAACCATAATTTTGACAACCGCCCATAAAGCAAAATCTCCAGAGCCTAACTGCTAAATCCGCAGCCCTGCAGAGCCTAAAGCCAGCGGAGTGCCGACATCCTGTCCCTAAGCACCTTGAAGTACCTGTAGAACCCTCTAGAACCCTATCAGAACCCGTATAATCAGAACCCGTGTATTTAGCACGTATGACATACTCTTGTGGGAGGCCCTTCTTGAATCCCAAATCCTAAAGCCCTAAACCCTGAACCCCCCTAAACCCTCTAGATCCCTTAAAGGAACCCCTATAGAAAACCCCATTGTAGGAACCTGATTAAGAAACCTTGGGCCTTCATTAGGGTTCCTTATATGAATCCTAATATGTTGGAGCTTATAGGGCTAATCTTTATAGACCCTTTGTAAGGACCTCTTTAGAGGAGCCCTAAGGGCTCCTACATTATATGCCCCCCAAAAAGCCGAAGGGCGCTGAAGAGCATGGGGAAAGCCCTAAACCCTAAACCCTAAACCCTAAACCCTAGCCCGAGGAGCTCGAGAAACTCCTGGAGCACGATGCGCTGCAGGCCGCAAGTTTTTGGGGGGGGTTTTCAGGGGTTCCTTTAAAAGGGTGCAACAGTGGCCTAGAGTCTAGAGGGCTCAGGTTTTAGGGGCCTTTTAAGGGCTCCTTTCAAGGATACTGTAGGGGTTCCTGGAAGGGATCTAGAGGGTTTAGCTTTTGGGTTTTTTTTTTTGGGAGTTCCTTTAAAGGGTACTACAGGGGTTCCTTTGAGGGATCTAGAGGCTTAAGGGGTTAGGGGTTTAGGGTTAGAGGTTTAGGGAGTTTAGGGGTTTTAGGATCTTTTTCGGTTTTAGGGTTTTTGGGGAGTTTTGGGGGTTTTGGGATGGTCTGGGGGTTCAGCTTTCAGAGTTTCGGGTTTAGGATTGGTTCGGGGTTTAGCAGGGTTTGGGGTTCAGGGCGGTGTGCACGGAGCCTTGCCAGCGGGTTCTTACAAGTTTGTAAGGGTGCGGACTTCATGGTGTAGGGTTTTGCGGTCTACACGGTTCTACAAGGTGGTTTGCAGGGACTCTAGAAGGGCTTTTTGGGGTCTGGAAAGAGGGCTGGTTCTAGAAGGGGCGTGGGGTTAAGTTGACGGTTTAGGTTAGGGTCCGGGGTTGGGGCTAAGGGACTGGAGTTTGGGGCTTCTAGTTTATCTGGGAGCCTGACTAATGAGTTGGTACTACTACTTACTATTTCTTGTAGGGCTTCGCACCCCAACGATACTAGAGCATGCCCTCCGAACCCTATTCTAACTGTTACGGCCGCTATATCACAGGGTTTGGGAGTTTGGGTTGGGAGGCGGCAGTTGATGTCGTGGTAACCATGCACAAGATAGTGATATTGAGACGAAGAGGATCAAGACAGATCATGGCAACGAGAGGGAAGCAGGTTCGAATTTGTAGCTGAAGAAGGCCAAGATCATTGCCGGGCTTCAGTTGATGTCGTTGGTCATGGAGGCGCAAGCAAGTACCCAGCAGCGTCGACATGCGGCGGGCGTGCCTAAAACGTGAGTGAGCTTGTGCCAATGCGTCGGACCGTCCGCGCTGATGCCAGCTTCGAATAGCTCTGCAAACATTTGCAAGCTGCATAGCACAGCCCGGGTTGTGCGTAGCGCCTGGGTCGGGGTCCATAGACGCCGAGAAAATCAAGATTTGCTTGCAGGACACCCAGGTCCCCTCAGGCTTGTCAACGTCGAGCCAAAGCCACATAGCTTTGACGTGCCAGCACGGGCTATGTGTAGCTTGTCTGGCTATTTGATACTTATGTGCTCACCGTTGCATAGTGGGCCCTAAGGGACCACATAGTATATACATTGGCCTTGAAGTACTCCCTATATAGGTACATTGGGCCCAAAGTATATACCATTTGGGTACATGGACCCTTGGGGGTGTAGCTCCCAAGTCCATGAGCCGTAAACGTTAAGTCCCAACCGTGTTGTACTGGAAGTACGTGTCCGGGTCGTTCTGACCTTCGCGCTGCGACAGGAACTGCCTGAAGCACCCAGTGTGCGCAAGATCATCAACGAGGCCTGCAGCGGTATCCTTTGGGACGGAGGGGACACGCACACACACACACATGTATACGTATGTATATATATATATATATATGAATATGTATGCATATATATATATATATATATACATGTATACACCTATGTGAGTATGTCTGTGTATATGTACGTAAGTAGGTACGTATGTGTGTATGTATGTATGTTTGTTTGTACCTAAGTACTTGAACCAGAGGCTCCCCAATCAAAAACGCTGCATGTATGACAATGTGCCCTTGTATCGACGAATCTACGTCTTGTACAGCAGGCCAAACTTTCGGAGAGCCCCCCAAAACCGGAAGTTCTTAAGCCCTACAAGAAGAAGTTCTTGGTCGGCGGACGCTGCTTGAGGATACAGGGTTTTAGTCTGGTTGCCTTTACAGGGTTTCCGGTACCGGGTTCCGGTGTTTCGGGCATGTGCGGATATAAGCCTCGCATTCTAGGCAGGTGTTGGAAGGAGACTTCCCTAATTCCGCACTCTTGGAGCTGCTACTACAGGCGCCTAAATAATTACCAATCTTATGGTCGGGGGTCCTTATAGTATAATTATGGTGTGATGGGCCCCAAACCCTGTCCTAATTATTTAGGCCCCTGTATTAGGTACATGTAGCCCGGAGTCTTACACTGAAGGTATCAGTGCCCAGAGAATCCAAGACCCGTTATCAAGGAGTATGAGTGGACCAATTATCATAGAGAGGTCCACAATCATGATTTATAAAGCATAGTCCAAAATGAAGAGGTTTTGGAGATAGTCTGCTGGGCTTCAGAGGGTGGGACACCGGAATTCCGCTGAGGTTGAACCCTAATCACGGTGTCAAGTCACTGTTGTCCTGCCTAGCCTCTGGCCCGGCTCTACTCGAAAAGTCGTGAACCTCGGCAATTTTCCAGAACCTGCAGGCTTGCCCTTTCATCTTAGGGGAACTTAGATGTTTTTAAGTTTTGGTTATTATAATCCTTAAGACAGCTAAAAGTATAATTTTTGCTAGGGGTCTAAGTTCGGTATAGTCATGACCAGACAGGAATTAGTCATCCCGAAACAAGCTTGGGCCTTGGCTTGGTCTCAATCACCCACATAAAACACACTGCCTCCCCCAACTCCCGATATCTGGAGCCACAGCTCCGAACCTGAGACTCTTACCATGTAGAGCAGAGTCTAACATAATCTAGGAGTTTCCGAACATTAGGGTACCCTATCTTGGGGGTCCTTATAATAAGGATCCTACTATTTAGGGTACTATATTAGGGTCCCCTATTTTCGGAAACTCGCATCTAGTACCCATCAGTCCAAGCAGAAGAGAGCAGGTGGACGTGAACGGCGATGGGAAAGTGGAGTTCGATGAGCCACTTGGGCAAAGCTTGGGTAAGGTAAGCCCAGACCTCAATCTTACTAGTATCTACCGTAAATGCCTTTTCTTCAGCAATATACTAGGTATCGATGAGGGTTGATTGTTATTTTCCCTTATTGTTTATAATATAGAGCCCCATATACATACGTACCACAATTTGTTATGATGCGCGGTATATCGTTTGGTTCAGTCCCGAGCCTCGCAGTAGTGTTTATTGTGGTTGGTTTCTCTCAGGGTCCCACCGAGGACCAAGGATGTCTATCCTTCCGGGTAATATAGAAATCGGAAGGATCAGTAGTCGCAAGCCCTTACAGCCGCTTACAGCGATCAGTTGTAGTATCCCCTTACACTGTTCTTTATAGGAAGATTACAGTCTGAAAATGCAGTTCGAAATGATATAGGGCCCTTAGCCACATGCCTCATTTCCTGTAGTCTCCAAGCTGTGGTATCCTAGAGCGGGGATGCCAGGAAACCACGCATCAGGTTTGTTTGAGTTAGAGCCATCAGAAGGTAGGCTCCCACAGCAGTACGTTGCATGACAGCCGCAGTTTCGAGGACGTCTTCGGCGTGGTGTATGGGTTGGTGTTTAAGTAGGGAGGTTCAGTTCGATTGTGTTCAGATCCTTATCAACCTTAAGCCATCCTAAGTCATCGGCACCATCCTAAACCCTACACCCCAAGAGTTGATGAGAGCGCAGGGCTTCAAAAGCAGGTCGTACCATTCAAGGGCCTGTCGCACTGGGTTGGGGAGCTCACAGCTCACCACGACTTTTGGACCCAGCTCAGCATTGTAGATCCTATGTATTCGGGTTTACAGAAAGCTTAATTCCGGGGCCTTATTGATGGATCCTGCCAATAATGTAAGGATCCTACTGTAGTGTTTGGAGCTCTATATGATTTGCTCGGTTGAGCGACTGCTGAGCCATTCTGTCTGAGGTTCATGAGGATGATGCTCTGTGCGGAGCGAACAACGCCTGCGAGCTGAGCTAAAAGCTTCGAGCTCCACAGTTTCGGGCCGGCGTTGAGTTTACTAGACTCCCTAAACCCTAAACCTCAAACCCTGACCCCCACCCTCGCCTAGAATTATCGATGCGCCTACAACTCGGTACATGTACCGATCCTCCCTTGAAAGGCCTAAACAGCTCCTGCATGCCAGCTGCAAAGTGTAGAAGCCTCAAATGTCAAGCCGAGCCGTACCCGCCTCCGGTCTCCAGACGAGGGATCGAAAAGACACGGTTCCTAGTAGTCGAGTAGGTAACCTTTAACCTTTTTTGGTAGTATAGTCCCTATATAATCCCTATATAACCAAGAAGGTTAACCTTCAGTTCCCCATGATACCCGACAAGTAGGGGTTTCTGAACCTAAGCGCAGGCCCCAGACCCAAAATCCTAAACCTTGCACTCTTGTAAGTCTAAACCCCTATATAACCCTAAAACGTAAACCCCACACCCCAAGCCGAAGTCCTCTGTTTGAGTTGCCGAGCTTGATTGCTCAACCCATTTATACCAACCGATATTTAGATGCAAAGAAAGCCTTGAGAAAGCCTCAAGCGAAGCGCCCAGAAGACCGATTCCTACGTCATCCGAGCCGGAGCCATGGCGTATCGCCCAGCCGTGGGGCAGAAATATGCCCGGCTTCGGGCGCCGGCGGCCTTAGGGGAACGGTGGGGTTCAAGATTCAGGGGTATTAAGTGCTTAGGCAAAATTGACGGATATTTTTTGGGTTTGGGAGTTCGGGAGTTGGGGGATGTTGGTTTAGCTGTGTGTTAACTTAAAAGGGCCAGGGTACCATGTGTACATTTACTAGTACCAGTACTGCCACGACGACGACGACTACTGTACTACCGGCCCGTACATCGTTATTAGCAGTACGGCCTCATTTTTCCGCGCGCCTTCAGGGAAGCGGGCGTCGGTTGTTCTAGCACGAATCATCTTTCGGGGTCTAGGATTTCTGGTGGAATCCGTCTAAGCTGAGTTTTTAAGGCCCTACATTGACTCTTGGTGCCCCTTCAACCCTTTCTTCACCCGTAATCGCCATTGCCTTCAAAGCTCCCAGACCCAAAACTAAAGCCCTACACCCTACAACCCTGCATCCTAAACGCCACGCTGAAGCCCTAAACCCCTAAGCCCTACAAGCCTAACCCCTGAACCCCTAAACCCTAAATCCTAAAGCCCTTGTAGCACCCGTAGAGAGCCCAAAAAGGAACTCGTACAGTCCCTATTGAAGGAAACCTTAAAGTCCTTTAAAGGAGCTCGTATAATCCCTTTTAGAGGAGCCCTTAAAGCCTTAAACCCTAAACCCTAAACCCCCCTAAACTCTAAACTCTAAACCCTAAAGCCTTGATACGCACTCTGCAAGTCAGAAAAGAGGCGCTTAAAAAAGAAAAAACCTAAAGTCCCTAAACCCTAAAACCACCCTGTAAAGTCCTAAAAGAACTCCCCAAAATCCCCGGTTTCCGAGGGAGCAGCAGGCGATGTTGGCTGCGGCTGGGAAGGCCTTGGCTGAGGACATGTCGCAAGAGACGCTGGGCTCAAGGGATCTATACTTGGAGGGTCGGGGGACTTAGTAAGTAGGTAGTAAGTAGACTTATCAGTACCCTAAAAGGGGACCCTAATTGGGTTTATGGTACTTATAAGTCCCTGAAATAACCAGTTACTAAGTCCCCCGACCCTCCAAGTAGGCTTCCTTTAAAGGGTTCCTTGAGGGGGCCCTGGGCTCAGGTCTTTTCTAGGGATCCTTGTAGGGCTTCCTTTAAAGGGATCCGTTTAAGGGGTTCCTTTAAGGGATCTATAAGGGTTCTTAGGGTTGTTTAGGGTATTGTCGCAAGAGACGCTGGGCTCAGGGTTTTGGGTTTAGGGGTTTAGGGTTTGGGCTTAAGTTTAGGGTTAAGGCTTAAGCGTTTAGGGCTTTGTTTGGTTTCAGGGTACAGGATTTAGGGTTCTGTCACGAGGGAAGTTGGGTTTAAGTTTAGAGCTTATGGGAGATTAGGGCTTAGGGGTGTTTAGAGTTTAGGGGAGGTCAAGGTTTATAGGAGTGTAGAGTTTAGGGGAGTTTAGGGTTTAGGCGGTGTTTTGGGTTTAGGGTTTAGGGTTGTTTTGGGGTTTAGGGTTTGGGGTCGCGGGTACAAAGGCTTAAGGTGTATTGGGTCTCGGGTATAGGTGGTGTATGGGAGTTTCCGAAAATTAGGGTACCTTTTTTGGGGGCCCTTATGATAAAGATCCTACTATTTAGGGTGCTGTATATGGTCCCCTATTTTTGGAAACTCCCATATAGTGTTGGGTTTAATCATTTGGGGTGACATTTGTTTAGGCTTCAACTCCAAATCACGTACCTTGTCGAACGACTCAAAACAAACAAGTCAGAACAACTATGCCTTATCAAGCAGGTTTCCTAGTGCTAAAACAGGACTAGGATCTAATCTAATCTGGAGGTCTGAAGTGTGTGTGTGTGTGTGTGTGTGTGTGTGCTTTTAACATAGTGTCTCATCAGAGGAATACGTGTATCCAAAACCTGTACTGATCTTTCAGTCCGCTAATTAGGGCTGGAGTTGTAAAGCAGGGCTGTCCGGCTTAAAGCTTTTCACTTAGGGGTACTTAGAAATATTTTTGGTTTTTGGTTATTATAACCCCTAAGAAACAGCTAAAATTGTAATTTTTGCTAGGGTTCTAAGTTCAGTATAGACAGCACCACATGCCATCAGTCTCGGCGATGGCCCACGCGGCCAAGCGAAGGAGAAGGTTTGGAGCGCAACTTTCGCAGGTAATTGAAATGATTGTCTTGATGTCATACTAGCTTGTTTTGGTGGATCCTTGTTATGTTTGAATACAATATACCCCAAAACCCTGCGTTCAGGGTTCGTCACTACGCTGTGTGTTAGGATATTGGACGGGCCGTGAAGTAGTTGGCCAAACCTTAAACCGAAGGCCCCGACCCCCCACGCCCGGCGGGGTTTGGGCTTTAGACATTGCACATCCTGAGGGGGTCTTCAGGTTTTGGGCTTTTTTCCCGAGTCCTAAGCTGTTAAACCAAGCCACAACACCAGCTACGAACCCAAATGCCCAGTACATGTAAGAAACCCTAAGCCCAAACCGAAATAATCGTAAAGGCTTTCATGCCCAAACCAAAAAGGCTGACAACTCGATCCCCAACTCCTAAACCCAATATAGCTCTGACGAATCTCAGCTGCTTTTGTTGTCCCCATATACTGATGCGTAAGATGCGAGAACTTCTTTTCGTTTGATTATCAAGCCCTCTTGCAACTTTCAACACCCTAACAGGGGGCCTTTATGACTGGATCAGTTTCTTTTGGGGAGCTGCATTATACGATGACCCTTGAAAATACATTCTTCTAGCTGTATACGATGACCCTTGAAAATATATCCTTCTCTAGGCCTCTATATTGTCCGAGTTATCCAGCCCCTACATGACACTAAGGGAGTGGCAGACTTGGGTCCTGGAGACTCCAGTAGCTTCCAACACCCCAAGACCCAAATGACAGTAGTCCGAAATCCTCACTACTTGTAGGATTGAGTTTAGGTACTGCCACCTTACAGTAAGAGTCTATAATTGGGCTACTATTAAGGTCCTAGTATGTCTATAATATGAATATTATTCAACTATTACTGAGTGGGGGCCGTACCCAAGATTGAGTGTTTAGGGTTCAGGGTTTAGGGTTTGGAGGGTGTGACGCACATCGCAGCCCGAAGCCTCAAATCCCAAACTCCCCTATCAATGTGGCCCCCTGGACGATAAACCCCATTCGGTATTGGACCTAAGGTTCCGGAGCGCAGACCTTCCTAAACCTCTAATTAGGGCTCCTTTCAAGGGTTCCTTAAGGCTCCTTCAAGGGATCTATAGGGTTTGTATCCTAAATCACAAGTAAAATCACTGTAGAACGAGCGTGTCGACAGATTACAATGAAGCTGAGGAATCAAGAGCACCTCGCAGGGGCAGCCGCCGCCCCTCAACTGCACACTCGTCTTGCGAAAGAGCGTGCATTGGGTTTTACCTAGAGTCTCCAATGTAGTCCATTTTTTAAAGAATTTCACTTGCTTCAACCATTTTGAGGGATAGGATCCTACAAGATCAAGGATTGTTCATTTTTTAAAGCCATTTTGAGGGATAGGATCGTTTAAGATCAAGGATTGTTCATTTTTTAAAACCATTGCGAGGGATAGGATCCTGTAAGATCAAGGATTGTTCATTTTTTAAAGCCATTTTGAGGGATAGGATCCTTTAAGATCAAGGGTTGTTCATTTGTTAAAACCATTGCGAGGGATAGGATCCTGTAAGATCAAGGATTGTTCATTTGTTAAAGCCATTTTGAGGGATAGGATCCTTTAAGATCAAGGGTTGTTCATTTTTCTAAACCATTGCGCGGATAGGATCCTATAAGATCAAGGATTGTTCATTTGTTAAAGCCATTTTGAGGGATAGGATCCTTTAAGATCAAGGATTGTTCATTTTTTAAAACCATTGCGCGGGATAGGATCCTGTAAGATCAAGGATTGTTCATTTTTTCAAGCCATTTTGAGGGATAGGATCCTTTAAGATCAAGGATTATCCATTTTTTAAAACCATTGCGAGGGATAGGATCCTATAAGATCAAGGATTGTTCATTTTTTAAAGCCATTTTGAGGGATAGGATCCTTTAAGATCAAGGATTGTTCATTTTTTAAATCCATGGCGAGGGATAGGATCCTATAAGATCAAGGATTGTTCATTTGTTAAAGCCATTTTGAGGGATAGGATCCTTTAAGATCAAGGATTGTTCATTTTTTAAAACCATTGCGAGGGATAGGATCCTGTAAGATCAAGGATTGTTCATTTTTTAAAGCCATTTTGAGGGATAGGATCCTTTAAGATCAAGGATTGTTCATTTTTAAAACCATTGCGAGGGATAGGATCCTGTAAGATCAAGGATTGTTCATTTTTTAAAGCCATTTTGAGGGATAGGATCCTATTTGTTCTTTTTTTCAAGCCAGCTTGAGGGATAGGCTCCTTTAAGATCAAGGATTGTTCGATTTTTAAAACCATTGCGAGGGATAGGATCCTATAAGATCAAGGATTGTTCATTTGTTAAAGCCATTTTGAGGGATAGGATCCTTTAAGATCAAGGATTGTTCATTTGTTAAAACCATCGCGAGGGATAGGATCCTATAAGGTCAAGGATTGTTCATTTTTGTTAAGCCATTTTGAGGGATAGGATCCTTTAAGATCAAGGATTGTTCATTTTTTAAAACCATTGCGAGGGAAAGGATCCTGCAAGATCAAGGATTGTTCTTTTTTTAAAGCCATTTTGAGGGATAGGATCCTTTAAGATCAAGGATTGTTCATTTTTTAAAACCATTGCGAGGGATAGGATCCTGTAAGATCAAGGATTGTTCATTTGTTAAAGCCATTTTGAGGGATAGGATCCTTTAAGATCAAGGGTTGTTCATTTTTTAAAGCCATGGCGAGGGATAGGATCCTGTAAGATCAAGGATTGTTCATTTTTTTAAGCCATTTTGAGGGATAGGATCCTTTAAGATCAAGGATTGTTCATTCTTTAAAACCATTGCGAGGGATAGGATCCTGTAAGATCAAGGATTGTTCACTTGTTAAAGCCATTTTGAGGGATAGGATCCTTTAAGATCAAGGGTTGTTCATGTTTTAAAACCATTGCGAGGGAAAGGATCCTGTAAGATCAAGGATTGTTCATTTTTTAAAGCCATTTTGAGGGATAGGATCCTTTAAGATCAAGGATTATCCATTTTTTAAAACCATTGTGCGGGATAGGATCCTATAAGATCAAGGATTGTTCTTTTTTTCAAGCCATTTTGAGGGATAGGATCCTTTAAGATCAAGGATTGTTCATTTTTTTAAACCATTGCGCGGGATAGGATCCTGTAAGATCAAGGATTGTTCATTTTTTAAAGCCATTTTGAGGGATAGGATCCTTTAAGATCAAGGATTGTTCGATTTTTTAAAGCCATTTCGAGGGATAGGATCCTATAAGATCAAGGATTGTTCATTTGTTAAAGCCATTTGAGGGATAGGATCCTTTAAGACAAAGGATTGTTCATTCTTTAAAACCATCGCGAGGGATAGGATCCTATAAGATCAAGGATTGTTCATTTGTTAAAGCCATTTTGAGGGATAGGATCCTTTAAGATCAAGGATTGTTCATTTTTTAAAACCATTGCGAGGGATAGGATCCTATAAGTTCAAGGATTGTTAGCCAACACAGGGAGCTACGATGGAGACGATGCCCTAAGGCTCCATAGTGGTTCCTTTTTGGGATCACTTTATAGGATTCTAAATATGAAACCCAAAACGGAACTACTACGGAGACGATAGGTAGGATTGAAGGGCTTGGAGGGTCAGGCTCAAGCCCGTACTGGGATGCAGAAGTTCTAAATAGTACCCAGAGGCCCCAAAGTAGTTCCTTTTTGGGGTTACCTTATAGGTTTCTATATATGAACCCCAAAAAGGAACTACTTTGGGGCCTTTGGGTAAGGAACTGTAGACGGTTTTGTCGTTTAAGTAATGTGGCTGGCACGGGGCTTGAAGTTTTCCACGTCGATTTGAACTGGGGTTTTGGGCTTGAGAGGGGTTTCGAGTACAGCAGTGTTTGAAAGAGGCGTACGGTTGATGATATAAATCCTGCATCACCTTAAGGACCCTAAACTACGGAAATTATGGTATACTCCTTATTATGGGTCATGCAGGATTTATATCATCAACCGTAGGGTTTGGTTTTCACTGGCGAGGATGGCAATGTTTGGAGCTTGTGTGAAGCGGTCCATGCTTTAGGAAATGCCCAGAGCACTGGCAAGGACTCAGAGAGTTTCGTGACAAATCCTGAGGTTTAGGGTTGAGAGTTCGGGGTTTAGGGTTTAGGATTTGGGGTGTAGGGTTTAGGGCTTAGGGTTTCACTGAATATTTATTGAGCCTCGAGCCTTCATTCATGCACATGTAGCCTAATGCAGCGTTGCGTGAATATAGCTTCAGCTGTATGCCATTAGCTAAGTGTCCCGGTCCTTCCAGCAAGGTCACCCCTAGACCTCAAACATGGATATCACCCTTATGGAGCACGTACAGGAGCCCAAAATAAAACAACAACAACGGATAAATGGCCCTTGTCATAGCACCTCGCTCCGACACCGGAGGCAGTAAATGCTGGGCGCCTGAACTGCCGGAATATCGCCGATGCAGGGCGACGCTGCTGCAAGCAAGCAAATCGAACACCTAAAACGGTATGGGGCGGTTCAAGGCTTAGGGTTTGGGGTTTAGGGTTTAGGCTATAAACCTTGAACCCAATGCAGACCCTAATCGGGCAACAGTCCCGAAAAGCCACTAAGGAGGTCTTCCCTGAACCCCCCTGAAAACACGAAGACTTCCGCCCACGCTCCCGGGTTTACTTTGGGGTTTTGGGGTTCAGAGTTTCGGGGGGCCAACCCCCAAGACCCAAATAAACAGTCGACACCTACTGTACACCCTAAACCCTTAACCCTGACACCCTGAACCCTAAGCCCAGCCGCCAAAACCCGAGCGCGACCCGGCTGTTCCCTAAGGTTTAGCGCTCCCGCTGTTTAAGATCGGGGCGCCCGAAAAGACATTTAGCATAACATACGAGGCTCGATAATTAGAATAGGGTTCCTTTGAAAGGGGGCCTATAAGGGATACTGTAGTAGGGTTCTCTGAAAAAGGATCCTTATTTATTACCTATACTATTTTGGTTGTTCCGTATTGTAATGGTGGTATAATATACCTCCGAACATTCAGGCCCCAATACCAAGAATCTTCCAAGGATATCCCTACCTTGTTGGGCTTCGTTATCATTGGATTGTTGTGGGTCTGCGAGCGCTTCAGTTGAATGGCTCAGGCAAAAAGCATGTCTTCAAAACGCTTTAGGGTTTTAGGGTTTGCACTTCTCAAAGGGCCTGGACCGGAAGACGGGCTGGAAGAGGCTTTAGGCTCATAGTTAAGACGTGTTTGTTGTGTTCATTCCGGTACTCTAGATGTGTAGATAGACACGGACAAACATACTTGTCAATATGAGCATCTTTACCTTGTCTACTCCATTTGCACCCGGCAGGTCTAGGACCTATCAAACAGAACCCAAATGCGCTCCGGAACTTCGGCCCGTGAATTTTGCAAAGCACCCACACAGACACACGTGCGAAACGAGCAAAAATCCGATCCTTGTCTCTGATCGCGGGGATTTCGGCGGAAAGGAAGGGTAGCAGGCCTCCTGGGGGCCATAGCCGAATACTTCCAGGGTTTACCTGGATCGCAGGTAGGCCCTAGTAGTCCTTAATCTTACCGTTCATTAGTAGGGAATGGAAGAATGGTAGTAGTATTAGTAGTAGTAGTAGTAGTAGTAGTAGTAGTAGTAGTAGTAGTAGTAGTAGTAGTAGTAGTAGTAGTAGTAGTAGTAGTAGTAGTTGCAGTTACATGTATACCCCGTTCCTCCATTCCTTACTAACCACAGGTAAGTAATACCAGCAGCCTACACGCGCTCGAAGTACTTTCTCAGGCATCCCGCTCTTGCAGGGGCGCTTGAGTCAATGGCCGCTCGCTCAAAAAGGCTCGATTTGGTGGTCTGATGGGGGGGGGGCACGGCGGCTGAAATTTTGAGTGCCTCGTGTTTATGTGCCGATTGTATTCGGGATAGAAACAACACCAACCAACAAGGCCTCTTAGCACAATATATTCCGTATATACCGTCCGTATACACTTAATAATTGTTGACTCGAGTTGACGGCTTGTCGTTCGGGGTTTCCCCCTGCCAACACCTTAATCTAGGCCCCAAGCGGCATAATCCCGGACCACAGGATATTCCTTAAATTTCAATCTTAAGATATCAACCCTTCATAGAACAGTTACAGAGAATAGGACCCCTATTTGGCCGGAAGCCGGAAGCCTTATCAATGGACCTTTGCAGGAATCCTTTGAAACCCTTGACCGAACCCTCATACGAATCCGACAAGAACCTTTCAGGGAGGAACCTGACAGAAAACTTGTAGGAATCCTATAGCTCTCCGTACGGACAACCCCAAAACTTTAAGCCCTAGACCCGAAGCCCCGAAACCCTACAGCCCTAAACCCTAAACCCTGAAACTGATTCACTCGCCTTCTCGATGGGGTTCCCTTTGCAAGATGGGAAAAAGGCGTTCAAAAAACACTGAAACTATTAAACCGGCAAGGCCACCTCAGGGCTTCCCTCCAACGGAACCCTCAAACCGCCGTTTTCCCGTTCGTGGGAACCCTAAAGCCCTTAGATGCTCCCAGACATCCCAACACCGAGGCCCCTAAATTAAGGAGTATACCTTAAATTATATTATATAATTATGGCCTCTATAATTTAGGGTACCCTACAACCCCTAGGCCCTAAACTCTTAGATGCTTGTCCGCCTTTGACAGGAGCGCCTTAGACGACCGACCAAGCCGCAGCTGTGGAAAAGACATCGGCGAGCCGCGCGGCTGCGGTTGATGGTTTGGGGGGGATGAGGTCCCGGTTTAGGGTTTTGGGTTTGGGCGGATGAGGTTGCAAGGTTTTAGGGTTTAGGGTTGTGGGTTTAGGTTTATGGAGGAGGTTTTAGGGTCAGGTTTGTAGGGTTTAGAGATGAGGGTCTCTGGATCGGGAGTTGGGGTTTCGGGTCCTGCTATATCTCGAACCAGAAGGTTCTGAGATTTTGAAGTTCTCGGATGTTTGATAGACGATTGCTGTACAGGTGTTTAGGGTATTTCGGGGAAGTTTGGGGCTTATGCGAACTTTGGGGCGTATGGGGAGTCAGGGTTTATGGAGACGTTTTGTGCATGCGCGAGAGTATGGGTCTCACGAAGTTTGTAAGGAAGGGCTTCTAGGGGAGGTGAGCCGTTATGGCGGCCAGAGATTCAGGGTGAAAGCTTTCGGGTTTGTGGGGTCAGGGTTTAGGGCTGTAGGTATTCCTCGTTTTTGCGACTACTAAGTTATAAGTTACTAAGGCCTATTTGGGTATATATAGGTAGGGTAACTGTAGTATAAGCCATATTAGGGGACTTTTAACCCTACTTTTAATTACCCATGAACCTCCATGTAGACCGGGTTTGCCTCGGGTTCCCAGTCCTTGTCTCATGTCCGAGGTGGCGACAGCTAGAGAAAATCATGGAGCAAGCGATGCAGTTGCAGCTAGCTGCTTGGCTCGCATTTCAGAGCATTAGTTGTGAGGCTATGTGGGGCTCTCTTTCTGGTGCCGATACCAACCCTGGTACACTGTAGCACTATATGCTTGAAACTCTGATGCCGTTACAAAGAGCCCAAGATGTCAGCCTATGTCGTGTATGAGTCAAGCGGCTTCGCCGTAAATGTCTATAGCCCTGAGCAGTCCGAAAAGTACAAGATTTTTGTTTGAATGGGGGCTTAGGGATCATGGCTGTTTGGATTCAGTGTCTGTGCTGATCGAACTTCTGATTCTGCGCTCAAAGCTCAACAATGAAGCATTTCTCAACAATGACGGAGTTAACCGAACATTGCAACATTAAACGCGCCGCTCTGAAGACCTACTTGGAGGTTGGATCCGGTACATAGAGCCGCTTGTCCTCGGGACTTACCCAAACTCTAACAAGCCCTACCTACTTGGATCAGTGGGCTTAGAAGTAAGGTAACTGTAATTATGACCTTTACTAGGGAGACTTATAACCCTACTTATGTAACTACCCATGAACCTCCAAGTAAACCATGAAGCGTAAGCCCGTGTTATATGAACTGCATTGGCGCAGGCGCAGCTGAAGAATCTTCGAGTGAGGCCGGTGCAAGCGCATGCTTTCGCGTTTGGGGTTCAGGACTCAATGGGCCGTCGGTTGTGTCACGGATTTCGGAGATCCCTCAACAGTGGGTTGGGTCCAGCATGCCGGTAAGAATGCCACCGGCACCGAGAAGCACAAAAGCTGATGCCTTCGGTGGAAGTTTACACCCCTGGACCTATACTAGACTGGGGATTCCTTGTTTGTGAATATGGGAGCTCCGATAATAGGGAACCCTAGCATAGTACCCTAAGTAGTAAGATCCTTATTATAAGGACCCCAAAATAAGGTACTCCAACTTTTCGGAAACTCCCATATAATTACAAAAGAAACAAAGCCCTATTCTAAGTCTTCAGGCTCCTATACCTGCTGAACATGTAACCCCTGGGGGTCATCTCCCGGACAATTGCTAGGTTGGATTTTGGGACATTTTTTATTTTCCTTATTTGGGTTTATCAGGGACCCTATATATAAATATTTTTCAGGGTGTTTAAAGGCCAACCCAGATTGCGCATCTGAGTTGTTTCAGCCTTGGACCCATTTACCCCGAAGTGTCCGAAACCCGACACAAAAAGCCCTAAGACCCGACATGCTAGTTGAGCAAACTTATGTTTATCAATGAAACCCGACACACAAAGCCCTATAGGACCCAACATGCTAGCTGAGCAAAGAGATCGTTTTTGAATGTAACGCCGGCTTGAAATCTTGATCAGGAATGCCTCCGCTGACGAAGAGTCACAGTGCTTGGGCGCTCAGTGGGGCTTGGGTGTTGGTTTTTGGTTTGCAAAGGAGAGGTTGGAGCAAGAGATGCAGGAACTTGAGCCAAACTTCCTCCCTCCCTCCCTCCCTCCCTCCCTGTCTCCCTCGCTCGCTCGCTCGCTCGCTCTCTCTCTCTCTCTCTCTCCCTCGCTTTTTCTCTCGCTCGCACTCGCTCGCTCGCTCGCTCGCTCGCTCGCTCGCTCTCTCTCTCTCTCTCTCTCTCTCTCTCTCTCTCTCTCTCTCTCTCTCTCTCTCTCTCTCTTTCTGTCGACCCTTCTCGCTCTCGCCGTATGTAAGCGTTTGTATGCGGGCATACATACCCACAAACGGTAGTGTTTGATTTTTGATCTATCTGCGCACACACACACCTCTTCGCATACATATGCCTGTGTCGTAAAACGGCCAAGCCAACGGAACTGCGAAAATAAACAGATATGTGTAGTTATGATGTATGTGCGTATGTGTACACGGATGCGAAAGCCATATTCAATATGCTCGAAAGTGCCCAACTTGTCCGGAGTTGACATTCAAGCACATTGGGGCAGGGCGTCGAGTTCTCCCAGCTGCAAATACTCATAATCCTAAACCTGCAACTCTGCAACCGTGCACCTGCATCGGCAAATCCTCGAGTCCTGACGCGCTTACAGCTGAGGTAGCTTGCTTGACCGAGCAGGAGCATCGAGCGCCTTCCCCGATCAAGGGTTGCGACGGGGGTGTGGAGATGATTCGGTGAATAGCAAAAGCAAATTAAATACCAATAGCCAATAACTGCCCAGGGGTTCCTACTGCAGTTATGTACAGCTATATAACCCCAGACGCCATTGAAATCATTGAGGCCGCTATATTATCTTGTTCTTGTTTTGTTTGTGAGGCAGCTTACAGCTGAACTCGTGCGAGCAGGCTTTGTGACTTTGCTAAGATCAACCAAGCATTGGAAGCAGCCATGATGCATGGCGCTTTATCGACCGACCTATGTCCGAGTATGCAGGTGCTTGAATAGATGTAATGTTGGGGCCTTAATAATTAAAATAGGGTTCCTTTAAGGGGTCCAGAAGGGCTACTATGAGGGCTATTACAAGGATTTAGTATAGGGGCCTGATAATTAAAGTAGGGTTTGGGTGCCATTATACTATTATTATAATCAGGAGCCCCAAATGGTATTCGGTAATCATTTAGGACCCTATAGTGTTTGTTCCGAAGGGCTATTAACTGAAAATTCTACAATTAGCTAGAAAAGTACCCCAACACCCTGTGCCAATGTATGTAAGTATTTAAGCCACCTATATCAGTCAAGGGTTCTGCGCTGGTAGGCTTGGGATGGGATTGTAGTCTGCGGTTCTAGGTTTACGTAGCTGGGTTACAAGCACCGTAGTCCCACTTGGTGTACTTCGAGCCCAGGTAGAAGCAGAGGCTAAGTTTGTTAAACTCCTGCCCTGAGGGTCCGAGTACCCGAATAGTAGGGTTGCAAGGTCGCACAACCATTCAGAGTATGGACTTTAGGACCTGAAACCCTGCTATTTGTGTACTTGGACCCTCTGGGCTGGTTTTTGGCATGTTTGCGTTTCGGTTGTGAGTTTAACAAGGCTCTCCCACTTGGGGTCTGCCAGGGTCTGCAGCATGAAGGATTTGCGTTGATCATGGAACTTGGTAGGTTGCTGATAGGTATTTGAGAGCTGGGATAGTAATCTTAGTGGCTGTGTCGGTAACACTCTGGGGTTTATACAAGGTCTACCATGATTGGAAAGGTGAGCCTTGTTGGGCTAGGGTACTCAGCCCTTAAGCAGCTGTTAACTGCATCTCGACCTCGTAGCTGGAAGACCCTAAATCCCACAGCCAGCAGAGTTTCTGGGTCAGTATTTGGAGTCTAACCTGTCGAGACACGTTTCCTTAACACCTGAACACCCAAACCAATGGATCCCTAGCTGCCCTAAACCATTAACTCCTAACCTCCGAAAAGGGACGTGTAGAAAAAAAAAACGACTCCTAACCTCCCAAAGCCTAAACCCGGCAGTGTCCGAGGCGCCTGCCCTGCAGATGAGGTCGGCAAAACTTGTCGGTTCATGTCAAAATTGGTTCTTGGGGGCCCAACCCTAAATTTACGTAAGGTACATGATTTTAGGGGCCTAACCCTAACTCAAGGTGCATGATCTTTAGGGGCCTAACCCTAAATTCAAGGTACGTGATTTTTAGGGGCCTAACCCTAGATTTAATATTTAAGTTACACCCCAACACCAAAAATACCTAACGCCCTCAACCCACAAACAACTAAACAGCCAATAACCCCTACACCCGGGACAGGATTTAGGCTTCTTAGTGCAGGGCTCATACCTGAAGCGCACTGTTTGTTCCTCAACGATTGCAGATTTAGGCTTCAGCGGACTCTCCTGGCAAACTTAGTCGTAGGACTATGAGTTTGGAGTTTAGGGTTCTGTGAGTGGGTATAATTCCCTCACACAAAGCCAAAAGACTGCGCACCTGCAGACAGCAGCCTGCACTGTGGTGAAGCTACGTGGTATGGCAAGGAGGTGCAAAATGCAGGTCCAACAGATCACCTCCTCTATCAAAAAAAGAAAAACCGACACTTCACCAGGCATCGCGTCAAGACGAAGCCGAGTGGCTGAGGAAGCTCAGCAAGACGCAGCTGTTGATGCCAATAATGCTCGTGCAAGGAGGACCATACGGGCTTTCGGACCATTGGTGGAGAAACACGATTGCGTCCCAGGAACTTTCTTCCAGCGACTGCATAGCATCGAGTCGAAGCTGGACGCCGACCGGAGGACTGTGGCTACTTTGTACAGGAAGATACATGAGGCAGCCGCGGACAGCAATGGGATATCCGTGATCTGAGTAGTGTAGCCGACCGAGTTCAGCCTGTAGTGATGCTGCAGTTTTCACTCCTCAATAGGCCCCAACCGTAAACTGTAAAACATGCTACGAGGTAATGTTTAATCCTTGTAGAACGATAAATTTGTTCCTTGTAGAACGATAAGAGTAAAAGAGAACGATAAGGAAGATGTGCTGCATCATACAGTCCCAAGGTCATCCAAAGTCCTGTAAAAGGATAAGAGTAAGAAGAAACGATAACCGAATGAAGGGTCAATCAAACGGGTGGGGGTTTTCACACGCCCTCAATTCGTCCTTTCTCGAAGTGCTAGGATGGTCTGTAAACAGCAAAACTGTTTACCTCGAGGATGTAATTGGGTCAAGTCGAAAGCTTAAATGCCGAGCCAAGCAACACTTTCGATAGGACCTCCATGCCTGACGGCACCAAGGCTGCGAAGACGCATGCCTCACCCCTATACATGGGTGGTTGTCAAAATTAGGGTCCCTGTTTGGGTCCTTATTGTAATACGGCACCTAGTATTTAGAGTACCCCAAAAGGGGCCATAATTTTGACAACTACCCTAATCCTTAATCCAGGAGATTAATCCCTAAACCCTATAGATCCCTTAAAGGAACCCCCATGGTACCCTTTAAAGGAACCCTAACCACCCACATGGCCTTGGAACGGTGCTGGGCATTCTGTTTTCCCATGCAGGAACATCCTCTGAAGATGAGCTTGGACAACATCATGGAAACGTTGAAGGCACGGCTTTGACTTCAGAATTCAACCGCTGCGGCTTGATACTTTTTCGCAACATTGAAGGCGCGGCATCATGTTCAGACTAGTTCAGGGTTCAAGGATTGGGGAACTGGAAAACTACAAGGCACGGCTTTGGCTTCAGAATTTAAACGCTACGGTTTGATACCTTTTCTATTTGGGGTTGCTGGTGCAAGATATTTTGTCGACCTGTTTTTGCCCAGCCCGCAATTTCCAAGAGTAGAACTACTGAATTTGCTTCAATAACACGTCCGTGGTCGACAACCTGAAACATGTAGCTTGTTGCGTTTGGCCCTGCAGGTGGCTCGTGCTGCTGTGGCTGCCGGTCGAAAGGCATTTCTCCGCTACCGGAAGATAATGTTGTGTCATTACGTTGACATAGGTTTTGTTTCGGAGTTTTGCTTGCACTCTAGTGCGGTAATTGTCCGCCCGGAGCTTTGCTGTGAGCAGTGCAGTTTTCCAAAAAGGACTTGGTTCGTGTGTTATCCGTGGTTCGACCTCTCCGGCCTTTGTCATCGAAATGTTCATGTCGTTCATTTGTCCGATGACATCGCATCGAACGAATAATTGGTAAATACTAGCTCGTTTGCACATTTGACGTTGTCATCTTGTCAGATTCCGGCCCTTTGCACCTGGCCTGAACGTAAGTGCAAGGTGCGAATTCGGAAGTCTCGTGGCCGAAGCAGTTGATGTGTTGTAATTCCCGGAGGTTTGCACTGTGCAGTTTCTGACCCAAACTTCAACAGCTTACATCTTTCGCCGTATCATGTGTTCAAACCGCTTTCCGGCATACATCTAAATCTGCTACCAGCTCTCAACCTCGATGTGGTCCACCCAAACACATGTTTTGGCGAACTCGTGCACGGTATCTCAACAGCATCGGTGTTCGACAAGATTGTGGTTCGGGTACCCTGCATGAAAGCACCACATATCCCGACAAAGATCAGACTCATGTCGAGCTCTCCACCTGTATACGATTTTACAGGCAGCTTTGTGTGTTTGCTTGTTGAAATTGCTGCTTTGGTGCTCTGTGCTGCATTCTGGCTGGCAAGCACTAAGCCCCGAATTACGCCCCACCAATTGAGGGTAGGCCCCACAGCTATAAGCAGTAAACTTGTGAGATTTCCTCAGCCTTAAATTCTTTCTGATTCCATTCACCCAAGAATCTTAACCTCACAACCGTGCATGCTCGCTCCTCCAGGTTCGACCGTATATCCCTACACCCCATGATACCCAAAACTCGTAAGCCTGTAGCAAGCCCTTGTTTAAAGTTTCGATACACGACCATGCCGTAGACGGCAGGCCAGGCAACGCCTTGCAAAACGGACTAGTGATATCCGACGTGTTGTTTAATTTATAGGTTGATTGATATTGTGATTTATTCATGGACGTTTACTGCAAACTCTTATACTTACACCCTACTCGTCCTCACCAGACCATATTTAGGTCTACGGGTGCTTTTTGGCCTCGTAACTTCTAGACCCCACACCCTGATCCCCCGCTTCCGGCCAACCGGATTTGAAAAAAAATTGACTCTAGTCTCAGCCTTGGATCCCAAGTCCGAGACCCCTAGCCCAGCTTTAATACCCCACTAGTAGGTCACTAGTACAAAACCATTCCTTAGGTATCCCATTCTAGTTATATTACTAGATGGGAGTTTGCGAAAATTAGGGTACCTTATTGTGGGTCCTTATAATCAGGATCCTATTATTTAGGGTACTATATCAGGGTCCCCTATTTTCAGAAACTCCCATATACCCCCAAGCCCTTCGATTCTTTAATCACTACAGGCCCCGATATTAATGAACGCTGGATTGCGAGCTTCCTGAGTCTTGAACCTTGTTCCCTAAACTAAACTTCCATGTGGGGGCTTTCGGGTTTCATGGCTTGGAGTTACCCCGGGAGCCCAAAACCGTTTCTTTGCGCAGGCAGAAGATGTTCTAGGGAGCCCAGCAACTCTGAGCATGGAGCTCTGGGTACATACAGTAGAAGCCAGAAAGTTGGAATATCATTATCGTAACCCCTTTAAGGTAAATTATAGGGGATCCTACCATTAATCCATATTCCAACTTTCTGGAGTTCCCTATAAGCCCTTACACCCTCAAGTTCCGAACCCCGAGATCGTTAAGACTGAATAATCGAAATTCGATGATCGCGAGGCATTGCTGCAGGCAGTTGCTGGCGAGGCGGTCGACTGAGGAGCTATATCTGGGATTTAGGGTTTAGGGTTGGGCGTAGGGTTGGGGTTTAGGGTTTCAGGGTTTAGGGTTTTAGGGTTTAGGGTTCGGGTTTAGAGTCTCAGGGTTTAGGGTTTAGGGTATAGTATGGTATGGTCATAGGGCTTGGTGTCAAGCTTTCAGTACGTAGAATACGTAATGTTAAACCTCTGTGGGATGCTATGCTGCCCTACACTACCTATAGTCTCCATGGTAGATCCTGTTTTGGGTTAACCAACAGTATGGTTAGGATCCTATTAACCAAAAAAGGAAAACTACAATGGCGACTGTAGGTATGCTGTACAGCACTATGCTAGATTTTACTAGGGACCTGGACAAGCCGGAAGATCTGTCCTTCGTGGTTTCGTTTTTCAAGATCCCTGAACTTGGAGGTTCATGGGTAGTCATCTGTGGGGTTTGTAGCCCCTTCATAGGAGTTATAGCTAGAATTACCGTACGTATAACTCTGCCATGAACCTTCAAGAACCCTAATTAAGCACTCCAGGCTCGTGATTTTGCAGAGTCGGCTTGAGGTTTTTGTTTGTGTTTGCATGTGGCGGTTGAACAAGGTCCGAGGCATTCCTGGGCTTTGCAGCTCTTCAGCGAATTTAATTTCACGGCCTCGTAAGCGTAAACCAGGGTCTGCAAGTGTCCCGCTGCTGCTCGGATGTAGGACCAGAGCAGAAGCTGTTCATTGTTAGGCTTTCAAGGACCCTCGACGACCGTTTAGACTCTGGACCCATTCCTAAGCCCCCCCAAAACATGCTGAACTTGCTGGTGAACTTTGGTTGCAGAAGTCTCGTGCGCAGGTCATCAATGCCATGACCACGACGGAGGTGCTGAGCTTTAGCAGCACCAGCGCGCTTGTACGAAACGCAACATGTGGAGGCTGGCCGGCACCATCTTTCCGAAACCGTACCTAGTAGTAGAGTAGGTAACCTTTTTTGGGTAGTATAGTCCCTATATAATCCCTATACATAACCAAAAAGGTCAACCTTTGGTTCCCCATGATACCCGACAAGTAGGAGTTGTAGCAGCGAAAGGTCCGCGGTGCACAGCGGCCGTGGCTTGAGTAGCTCGGGAAAGTGAGGCATAAGGCGAATATTAATAGGTACTTTTCTTTGTTTAGGGCATATAGCAAAGCATCCCCAGGCCCAAGCCTCCCTCAAGTTTCGTCGGAATCTTAATCCGACGTCACATATTTTCTCAACACCCTCATAGTGGCTGCGGCCTTGGATCACCGCTGTAACGTAGGGGATTGATTCGTTAGCTACAGTATTCCTTAGGGCTCCTTCTCTGGATGGGATTGACCCGTTCTGCTTTTCCCACCATAGCTGTACTGTAGCAGGTCACATACCCAAAAAACCCATTTCAGAGCTACTGCAACTGTAAGGTAACATGCTGCACAAACCTCTTGCATTTGTTTAAGGCCTTCGTTTTGGAGCTGTAGCTATACTGTAACACCGCTCCTTTCTTAAGGTAATAGTATCCCGGGAGTTACCTCACGCACTTGGCAAATACCCAGGGTTATCAGGGCATATAACTCGATTTGTCCCGACCTTCATTCATATTATGTAGGCCCGTAGACTGGGTGTAGCCCAATAAGCCTTAGCTCCACAAAAGCTTAGAACCCGGCCCTAAACCCTAATTACACCCCAATCCCTAAACCCGAAACCCAAATTCTAAACCCCGATCCCTGAATCCTAGTCCAGAACCAACACCCCAACAAAAGAAAAGCACCGCAGAACCAAACCAAAACACAAAAAACACCCTAAGCCCTAAACCCTGGACCCTAGAACCCCAAACAACAAAGAGCCCAAAGCCCTCAAACCCTAAACCTTGAAACCCCGACAAACTCAAAGCAAAGCAAACCCTGAAACCCCCCAAAACGCCCAAAGCCTAAGCCCTAAAGGGCCCTACGCCCTAAAGGGCCCTAAACCCTAAAACCCCAAACAAAAAGCCCAAGGCCCTTAAACCCTAAACCCTAAAACCCCGTCAAAAAGGAGCCTCAAAAAAACTACCCTAAAACC